AAAACTTAAAGTGAATTTTATAAAATTCTCTCAATTTATTGCTAAAAAATGTTTATTTTTTCAGCTTTTCTTTTGAAAGGTAAAGCACACATAAACTACTTAATGTAATAGTTGATTTTATTGGAAAAAAACTGAATTATAGTAATTCAGGTAAATTGCTTTTAAGTTTCAAACAACAAAAACTTTGATGGGAATGTGTGTAATAAAATATACTGTAGATGTTTCACCATTTGCATACCTAGTTTATTTCAAATTCAGCTTCTAACATTTTGTAGTTTGCATTACAGTCCTCAATGAATACTTCTCTGAGATCCACAATATCTCATTATAGGCAAGGAACGAATAAACCTTACATTATAATGTGAAATTCTAAATCCACGAAGATATCAAAACAAGGAACAGAATTTAATATAAGTTTAGACTACAGCTGACTTCCATTAATCAGCTTTTCAATGTTGAAAAACATAGTTGAGAGCCTGAAATCAGAATTTCCTTGAAAATTATTCCATAAAATGGTAATTTTCACACTTCTTCAAGGACCCCCACCCCCAGTCCCCCCAAAATTATATTTTTTAAGATCAATGAAATGTTTACCTGTTTCTGGTTTCCAAACATACACTATCCCATCCTCACTTCCAGCAAAGAGATAAGTCCCACATGGTGTCAAAGTGCTATGAATCTTCTCCCGATAATTGGCTGCTCCTACAAACTTCCTTGCTGCTAATCTGTAAGAAAAAAAGACTTTAAAAATGTAATCTATCTTACAGTCTTGAAAGACTGGTGGTAGAAAAATTTTTAAATACTTCATATGCATTTAACAAACAATTTTTGAGAATATGTTATGTGGGAGGTATTCTATGATAGATGCAGAATAAAGACGAGATAGTGCCAGAGCTCAGGGAGCTTATCATTTAGCAGGAGAGAAGGAATGCAGCAATGTAAAACAGAAAGTGGATGTAGAAAGTGCCACAGGACAAGGAAAGAAAGAGTACTTTGCAGATTTGGATAAGAGAAATTATTTCTAGCTATGAAGAAAGACTACTTTATGGAAGCAGCATTTGAAAGGGGCAGAATTTTTATAGTCTTAATTTTTTTGTGTGATGAATTTTTAAAGTCACACAACTAATACATGATCCTTGTAGATATATTAGCTAGAACATATTATTAAATCATCTATTAAATATGCTATACTACCACCTTTGAGGATTTTTTGCTTATGAAAACTATCTAACACTGTTTTAATGCTTACTATGTGCCACTCAGGTACTATTATCATGCCTGGTTTACAAAGAGTATTACATACACTGCTCTGTTATCTGCTTTTGTTCAGTAAACAAAAAAACACAAATAATGGTACTCCATGTCAGAAATATAGATTATGCATTATAATTTTAACAGGTGTATGTTATGTTATTGTCTAAGTGTATTTTAAGAAATTTTCTATTGTTGGACAACACACTTAGGATGTTTCCAGCTTTCTCCTACCAAGAATGTGATTTCTATGAACAATCTTGTATACATATATTTTTTCACCATTTTATTATTTATTTATTTATTTATTTAAATGTATCGGGGTGACATTGGTTAATAACATTATATGTTTCAAGTGTAAAATCTATAAAATATCACCTGACCATTGCACTGTGTGCTCACCACCAC